CTAGATTTGTCTCTGAACTGTGGGTCACTGTGAAATGTCCCCCAGGCCCTACTGACGCACTGTCTCCGTGTGAAGGTGACATCAATAATTTACGTAGCTGAAGCATCACCAGAAGGTCTGGCAAACTCTCCTCAGACTTCGAAAATACCCTTCTCTAGCTGTCAATGACCTATGACGCATCTCTTCTGGAACGAGGATCAGAATAAATTCATTGGTGCATTTTGCAATTTTATTTTATATTATTTTATTGCACTTTACAATTTAACGTACACCAACTCTGGTAAATAGTCTATGAATAACCAAAGAACACAGTTTTTCCTGGGTAGATGGAGAAAAAAGTTTTATTTTTCTCAATTGCTTTTCCCTCAGAAAATTTTTCTTGTAAATTTTTTTCTTCTTAAACCATTAGCCTTTTATTAGTGACCACAGTCCGATAAGTGAACAAGAAGTGAATATTAGTGAAAGCACAGTCACTGCCAACAGTAAACACTTCTCTTTTAGGAGCGTGTGTGCTTGTGATTTGTTTGTTTCTTGAGCCAGGATTTTACTACATAGCTCGGGCTGGCCCAGATCTCGCCATGTAGCCTAGACTGGCCTCAAACTCACGATCCTCTGGCCTCAGCCAAGTGCTGGATTATAGGTGTGCCCCGCCACACCTGGCTTGTGATTTTCAATTACATGAGTTTTCTGCTGGAAAAAATGTTCACAGCTTGCAAAATGGGACTACATCAAGCAGCCACTCTTGGTATTGTAGAGAGCCATGGATGTCAGGGGGGTCTGATGCCCAACCAAAGTCAAGAGCTACAGTTTTAAGCCCAGAGGACAATGGTTGAGGATCCTGGCAAATGACCGAGGATGGAGGGATCAGCAGGAGTGCAGATGCTGGGCAGCCTGCTGCCAGTTGTGCCTCAGCTGGGCGTGCTGTGAGCGGGCCTCCCTGGCGGGAGGAACACCTAACCCTGAGCTTCAGCGAGTGTCGAGATGGACGCTAGGATTCCCCTGGCTGTGCGGCGCAAGCATTATCTTCAGAAAAGGAAAAGGAAGAAAGGAACAGTAGTAAAGGAGCTAGGGGAAAATAAAGTTTTGTTTTGGGCAGCCCTGCAATTTTCCCTCTTCCAGCGAACAAAAGGGGCTCAACCATCCACATCGCCGCATCAGAGGTGAACTGAGTCCTGAGGGTCCTGCAGAAATACTAGAAATGCTACTCGGGGCCTGGAAAAGTCTCATTACATTGTTATCTTGTGCCTTACCTGGTTTCTAGAAGAAGTAGAAAACTTTGTCAAGACGGCATAGAGCGTCCCAAGTTGTGCTGTAGGACTAGAGCACCATCTTGTGGTCAAAATCAGTATCGTGCTGAACACAAAAATAGCCTCGTGTTTCCTTAACGAGAATTGTAATTCTAGGATCATTTTCTCATGGCCCCCCAAAAGAAAAACCTTTCAGAACAATATTCCTCATTTTATAACGCATATGAGATCATTTGAATTTTAAAATTACAGTACATATGAATTGTATCATTGAGTCTATACATGTTCAATCTTAAATTCTGGCTACCAGACCTTTTTGGCACATTTATTCTATGGGCTTAAGGAACTGAAGAATGGGAAAAAAAAAGAGTCAGAATTTCAAGATGATGATTACTGTCTTCCTCTGGTACCAACCCAAGTTCAATCTTTATCTCAAAAGCGGTCTCATCAACACAGATTAACAGTGGTCCAAGGGGTCAACTGGTGTGGCTGTTTGGTTCCTGTAAATCACATTCAAGAGGAAAAATTCTAAGGTGTTAAAACCCAAATCAGGAAAAATCACAGGCGAGGGTCTCTGGTTACCATGGTTATGAGTGCTCCAAGTTAAAGATCAGGATACCAAATTACAAATAGAATCCTTAGATCGTTACAAATATATATTTGCTTACTACAAGAAATCCCCCAAAGATTTGTAATTCACTGCAGCCAGCATTTGTGAAGTATAATAGTTGTATTCACAAATATTTTTTCATTTGTATAATTGGAACAATTTAAGAAATTATAATTATTTACAAACATTTAAAAGGTTCTTTTTGGCTGGAGATTTAGCTCAGTGGTTTCGTTGCCTGCTGCGCAAGCACAAGGACCCGAGTTCAATCCCTGGTACCAAAAAATAAAAATAAAAAATAAAAAATAAATAAAAGGTTCTTTTTGATATCAGCTATATACTTGGATAAAATATATTGGTGTCAAAAATTTGAGGTGTGTTAAGACTGTTTGTTTGGGTCTGTTTTTTTGAGACAGGGTCTCACCAGGCAGCACAGGCTGGCCAGGAAGTCACTCTGCAGCCCAGCCCAGTCCGGCCTTGAGCTCATGGCGCTCTGCCTGACTCAGCCTCCTGAGTGCTGAGATAGCAGGTGTGCACCATGACTAGTTTTGCTATAAAAATGTGGTTTACATTCAAATTCTTGAAGTGTTTGATGCTTCATATGGCCAAGGTGTAGTATGGTAGAGTTAATAGTGTATGAGTAAACATGCTGTAATTTTAAAAGATGCTGTCAATAAAAATTTAAGTTTAAAACAAATGTTCAGTTTATGGCACTTGGTCACACACTGCATCTGATGATAGTTGTGTCCACGTGTTCCTCTCAGCCACCTATCACACTCAATGTGTATTCTCAAAGGACAAAAAAGTTAGCAGAAATCGATTTTAAGTTTCTAGCCATTTCATACGGAACTGTAAAGTATGTTAATTTTCTACATTCCAGCCCATTACATTTCAGTGGGTACTTTAAAACATATATACAATTTGAGCCAGATGTGATGGCGCACACCTGTAATCCCAGCACTTGGGAGACTGAGGCAGGAGGATCGCTTCAAGTTGGAGGCCAGCCTGGGCTACATAGTGAGTCCAAGGCCAGCCTGAACTGCCCAAGAACTTGTCTCAGAAAAAAAAAAGAAAAAATGTTCAACAAAGATTTTACTTAGAGATGTGTGGAAATCACATTTTAAAGGAAGTATGGATCTCTTTACTTGGAAAGTAGTTACAGGTACTATGCTAGGTTTGGTCCTTATGTAAACCTAGAAGCAGCCAGGATGAGGAGGTTGAAAATCTCAGGTAAGGAGAGGTCCCCTGCCACCTTCCAGGCTAAGAGCTACAAATACTCAAGAGCAGGGGCTGCACTTCCCACACTACTTGGGATAGGGTGGGGGTACCGAGTTTGCAACTTGATTCTCTAAACTAAAAAAATGCCTGCCTAAAAAACCTAGGGTAGTATCTAGCTAAACACATTTCACATATAGCGGACGCCTAAGTGGTTAGTTGATGCTGTCCTTTGCTTCCCAGAAACTTTCACTGTGCAACTTTTTTTGCACAGTGCCAATGAGTTATTCTGATGACAAACACAAGTGGTGCTGATCTTCTAACCTGTGTCCAATTACTGGAGATGGAGTCAACTCTCCAAAAAAAAAGTGAACTTACATACCTAAATCTGTTTGGCCATTAGATATTTCTCTAATTTCCCCCTCTAACAGCCCCTTCTGTGATGGCTGTGAATCCTCTTACCCCTGGCCCAAATTCCTCTCCTGGCCAGGCTTGGAGCGGTCTGTGGTTGAGGTGAGCCGAGTATGCCTGTGCAGTAGGCAGGACTGCTGCCTCAGCTGCCCACGGGCTGTTGGGAGCGCAGACTTCCTGAGTCTAAACAGCTGCCTTTAAAATTCACTGCAGACAAAGCTGGAGCATGAAGCACTTTCTAGCTTCAGAAAGAATGCTGAACTAATGGCTCTGACCTAGGTGTGGGATTCCTGTTGTTTTCATGGGGACAGAGATGAACACAAGACTGTGAACCAGGGGTCGGCACGTGGCTGTTCCCGCCAGCTGGCGTGGAACTTGTCCCGCTGGTCAGTAAGCTGAGTAACAGGGAGGCTTTTTAGCAGATGCACTTCCGCTCTTCCCACCCGGCAGTCCTGTAGGCTGACTGTTATGGACTGCCTCTTCGAGCTCTGCTTGCACTGTGCTGTGAAATGAATTCTGGCCAATGTGAGCCTCGGGAAGAGCTGAGTGAACAGCAGGATGAGATCCGGGTTTTACTCCCGAGTTCTCTCCTTACCCAGTCACTGTCGACTGGCCATCTCTACCAAAGGCACCAGATCTATTAGGCAGCTCCTGCCTGTGCCTTTTCAACTCCCTCACGTGCTACCCGGACAGCACTGGCTACTGCTTCGGGTCCCCTTAGAAGTCCTTCGATAAACTCATCCTATTTGCCTGTGTTTTTCTCCCTCATACAGGATACTGACCAATACAAGCAGGGAAAGCTAACCTTCTCCCAGGAGCTCCCCTCCCATCTACTTCCAGCTGTCTCGCCACTTCCTGTTTAGATGGAGGTGGGAGGGGGGGGGACAGCATGACAAGGAAAGACAAAAATTTCATGGCAAAACAGTTGGCTTTAACATTTTTCTTCTTTTCTATTCTCAAGTCCAGTCTTGTTTTTCTTGTTAACCTCTGGGAATGACTACTAGCAGCTCAAACTAAAAACTATTACTGCTGCCAAAAAGGTAAAATGAAATAAAGCAAAGGGAATTTGCAGCTGAAGGATTATGGAACTGAGTATAAAGGATCAAAGAACTAGAAACACAAAGACTGCCCTCTACTGAATTCAATGTGTTCTAATACTTAGAAGAGTGCTTGGTACAAAATAGCCACGACGATTATGGAATATTAAACTGAATTAATAAACACACACCTTATTTTTCCATTAGCAATATTTTAAGCTGCTTTTGAGTTTCTTTTTCTTAGAATAGGCAGTTTCTTAAAAATGTAAAATTTACTTTTCTGCCATTTATTTTATGGAAATCAAATTAAGAAGCATACATACACAAAATTTTAAACCTTGCCTGTCGAGATCATGTAAAAAGCTGTCAGTTGTGATCTATACTTTGCATATCTAAAAGTCACAGCATTACCATCCTAAAGGTGATGAGAATGAAAGGTGATAACTTCCTATTGCCCTGGGTACACCAAGTTAAACTGCACCATGACACTGAAAGGAACGATGACTTTTTACTGGTATCACAGCAAACTTCCCCTAAGACATATGCCATGCTGTCTTGAATTGTAACAGCTCACAGATGGAGGGGAATAAAAGACACCTAGCTGTACACGTGAAATAATTAGGGAGAAAAGAAGGACTTCAGAAAATAATTTCTTAGAAAATTTTAAAAAAAAACAAACAATTTTGACAAAACACAAACCTATGACCTAATAAACATTTAATTTTAGGAACACGATGTGAAGAACAGGACACTTATTTACAATTCTGGAACTGTTTGGCTTGGAACACCTCTGGTGTCAGGGCGGCGCATCCCCACTGGGTCAGCTGGCAGTGCTGATGGTCCTCGCCCTCCAGCTCTCCCTGGGCTTGGAGTAGTCCCAGGGCCTTCTGCTCTCCGTGAACCCATACAGTTTTCTAAGTGCCACTCGAGCAGCTTCTTCTTCTGCAGCCAATACCGTCTCCCCAGGTCCTTCTGCCATCAACTTTTTATCACTAGGAAAAAAACAACAGTGGTCTTAAAACAACAGTGCTCCCGTAAGGCAGCACACAAAGCCGTTATGCCTTGCAAATCTTACTTTGACAAAGCCGCCAAGGTAACCTGATAGTCTTAGCGCTTGTGAGCGAGTTCTCTCTCTCTCTCTCTCTCAAGTTCATTTTACACAGCAGCTACACAAAGAAATATAAACAATATACTAGGCCCAGTATTTTTCAAGTCAAAAACACCAAGGCAAATGCAAACTACAGGCACAGGTTTTAACTGCTGATGGAAGAACTAGAATATACACCTTCTTGTGAAAACCTAAAACTATTAAAAATATTCCTGAGAATTATGATTAGTTATTTTTAAATCATTTGATGTGCAATATAACTTGAGGGAAGATTCTGCTGAAAAACTTAGGGCTTTTGGGCTGGGAATTTAGCTCAGTAGTTTCGCTGCCTGCTGCGTAAGCGCAAGGACCCGAGTTCGATCCCTCGAACCAAAAAAAAAAAAAAAAATTATGGCTGTGTTCTATCATCTAAACTTTAGCACAATGGGGGATATATAAGTTCTGTTTTTTGTTGCTGTTTTGTTTTGTTTTATTGAGACAGGGTCTCATGTAGTTCAGGCTGGCCTCGATCTCATCACAATCCTACTGCCTCAGCCTCCCGAGTGCTGGATTACAGGTGTGGGCCACCACACTTGACCAGCTCTATATCTTTAATTAAAAACTTCAGGTCTTCAAAAATTCAGATTTAAAAAATATTTCTATGTTTATAATGTACTCTAAGTTATTCCCAAGAAATAGTGAGAAAGTATAGTGAACACGACATATTGGCTATTCATGTTCTATTAAAAACAGATAAACCAATTCCTTGGCTTCACTGGTATTTCTATTATTAGTACTATAGCTATCTTCTTTAACTAAGTGTTATTCCTACAAAGAAGCAATGGATATGCACATTAAATAACTATAATCCTGTTTGTTTTGCTACTTCTCAACTGCATTTAACTAGAAACTTCCTGATCTAAAATTTCACCTACACAAAAGCAGCATTTCTCTCCAAGATCATGCACAACAATGCCTGGAGTCGATATAAAGTGACTTGAAAGTTAAGAAGACCAGAACCAAATTAAAGGAAAACAATGTGGAGCTACACAGGTAACAAAACAAAACTACAACACAGAAGGAATTTGCTAAGAAGCATTTGCTATGATAGTAAGTTAAACTGAAACAAAGGTTAATGATATGAAGTCAAACTTTGCAATATTACAATCACACATATTTGGAAAGTGGGCAATAGAGAAAATCATCTAACTGAATTTCAAGCCCAGAAGATTTAGCATCATGCTTTTAGTCTAATGATGCTGCTATTCTATCACCAATTATTATCTTTTATCACCTAAAAACCTAGAAAAAAACACTATTACCCCCAAATAATCAGTTTGTAATACGGAAAATTCTTATTCATTTTTTAGTTGAAAGATTACTCCCCAAAAGCTCTCGATGTTATTAAAAATTCATTAACGATGTTATTTGTAGTAGCTGAACTCTATTTCATCATGTGCATACATCTTTTCCTTCTTTGTGATTTTTTTTTCCCCTTCTTTTTGGTTGAGACAGGGTCTCTCTATGTAATCCAGGCTGGCCTCAAACTCAGTGATCCTCCTGCCTCAGCCTCCCAAGTCCTGGGATTACAGGTGTGGCACCACCACTCAGGGCTGTAATTTTTATTAATTCCATAACTATTTACTGACCACCATGTCCCAAGAATTCTTCTAGGTGTGGGGTATAAAGAGTTTAAAAAAATAAACGAGCTGGCACAAAGGCGCACTCCTGTAATCCCAGCTACTCTGGAGGCTGAGGCAGAAGGATCATAAGCTTGAGGCCAATCTGGGCAACTAATGAGAGTCTGTTTCAAAATAAGAAAAATAAAAATGGCTGGGGATGTAGCTCAGAGGTAGAGTGCTTGCTTGTCTAGTATCCAAGAGGACCTGAGTTCAAGTCCCGTACCCGAAAAATAAGAAACAAATGAATATCTGTCTACAAATTTTTGTCTGTAACCATAGGACAATCAAAAAGTAGAAATATCAAGTTAAAGGGCATAAATATTTCAAAGATTCCTAGCATTCTGTCAAAATCCATTACAGTAATACTGTATTTTTTCTTCTACTGGCAGTGTATGAAGTACTGATAAAGGATATGTTTAAGGTTTACCAATCTGATAAAAAGAACACATCATTGTCTTTGCCTTGCACTTCAATTAAAATTGAAGATGAAACTTTTACGGCACTACCTACTTCCTATTCTGTCTTCCAATGCTTTTATACCCAATAAGGTCCTCTGTGATGCAGAGTAGAAAAATATTTACCTAAATTTTAATCTAGTTATCTTAGATGTTCAATTGAATGTAAGATATTCAATATTTAGCTTATTTATTTACTTATTTCATGTTAAGAGGAATAAAACCCAGGGCCCTGTGCATGTTAGGCAAGTGCTCCACCACTGAACTACTCCTGCAGCCCATTTTCATCTCAACACTTGAAATCATTACTAACAAATTAAAAACCTCTCAACATGGATTGATTTATACATTTTGGTGGACAACTAAGTGTCTTCTTTTTCACTCCTAGGCTCAGTTAATGTTGTTTACAAGAGTAGACTAAGGTTAAATCTATAACACGAGTCAAAACTTGTATTTGTACAGAAAATTTTAGGTTAACATACATCCCATGAAATTCTATAGTAAACAGCTGTCTAACAAAAACTACTAAAAACAAAACATACATTACTTATCTTCCATAGAAAAACCAAAAAGGAAAGGAAGTGATAAATACACATCACGGGATGTTTAAAAATCTCTCATGTCATCACAGCCATGTTAAAGAAATAAATGTTGGGGGTGGGGGGAGCCAGCGTGGTGCACATGCCTGTGATCCAGCGGCTCAGAACACTGAGCTGGTGGGCCTGGAGTTTGAGCCCAGGCTGGGCAGGCTGGGCCCCTGACTCAAAAAAATAAAAAGAACTGTGAGGAGTCTAGAGTCTACTTTGTTTTGTTTTGTTTTTTGCTACTGGGGATTGAACGGGACCTTGCACTTGCAAGACAGGCAGCGGCACCGCTGAGCTAAATCCTCAGCCTCTAGAGTCTATTTTTAAGGCCTCCAATCAAACGTTATGAATTGAAGATTAAAATTTTACTTACCAGTATAAGCCAACAAAATACAAAGGCAAAGCTGTGGTGCTTCCAGACTGCCTAGTAAGTCTAGATTCAGGTGCTGAAATGTTTCTCTTCTTCAATTCTTCTACCAGCAGTCCCATGGGATTTACTATCTTCCACATCTCAAAAAGCTCTTTTCCAGTCAGTTGAGTAATTAGGAAGTCCTGCATATAAAACAGTATTTGATACAACTGAATTAGTACGAAGAACTTAAGGACTTGAATTCAAAGTACATATTCAGCCGGGGTGCAAGGTCCCAAGTTCGATCCCCGGTACCAAAAAAAACCAAAGTACATATTCAACAAAAAGCTTAATGGGAATTGAAAGACGAAATGTACCACCCTCGTCTGAAAATCCAAAATCTAAAACAATCCAAAACGTGAACATTTTTGACCATTGATATAATGCTCTAAAAGGCTGCGATTCTATAGTAATTTGGATTTCAAACTTCAGATTTCCAGATTAGAATATCTCAATCTGCAAAGCCTTGCAAATATTCCAAATTTGAAAATATCAAAAATCTGAAATACTTATGATACCAAGCATTTTGGATGAACCTATATTCTTTTTAGTTCTATAGTTTTTTTTCCAGTGCTATGGGCTGAAGTTAGGGTCTTCTGGATCCCAGGTAAGTGCTCTGCTACTGAGCAATACCCCTAACCCTCATGTAGTTTTTTTCCTATCAATTTCATTACAAAAACCATAGTTAAATTGGAAAGCTTGAGAAAACTGTCTATTTTAGGCAATATGATCGACCAGAATTACACAAGAGGTAGAATCCTACCTTATAATACAGAATTACATTCCTTTAAAGAGTTCAATCAATGAAACAACACTAATAACTTCTGGCAGAAACTTATGTAAAGACACACAGAACCTCTAGATAACAATACTGTTAAGTTTTGAAAATCATTTAAATAATAATTTTACATATGCTACCTTTAAAAACTGACTTTATAATACTTCTAATTTTCACAGCAATTTATATATTGAAATGAAATCATATGAACAAACATCAGTAATATAACAAGATGGATGAATGGAAGCAGGAGGGAAGAAATTGAAAAAGATCCTTTAATTCATGAAATAAGTAACTTTCATTACAACAATCCTCCAGGAACCAGAACTCTATTTCAGCTTCATTAACAGAAAATATCACTTCTCACTGGGAAGGGAAGAAGTGGTTTACCTATGAACGAAGTCTGACATGTTGATTAATATAAGTCTAATTTTCTTTTTTTTTTAAATGATCAGACTTATCTAACTAGATGAGTAGATTCCAAGAGCAAGTGATGCTGGTTTAAAGGACCTGGCATTCAATGTCTAAATCAAGACTGTTAGGACTTAAGGTGATTATGTGGACTCTTTCTTAATGAACAGTAAACATCTTTACATCCAATAGTAGAGGATAAAACTTTTCCTAGTTAATAAACTCTGACAGGACAAACGGAGTCAAGTGGTACTAATTACATAAGACCTTTAGGCAAAGCTCTGGCTAGCAGACAGCTAGTTGTACATCACAGGGACTCAGAAATCCAAGACTTTATTACTTGAAAGAGCAAAACAAGGGCACTCAAGCATGAAGCTCCCAATCACCCTACATCCTTGCACAGTGTTCTTCGACCTAATTCATTCATTCATCAAAGATCTAACAGGACTATCTACCACACATGCATTATCTTTGGACCTGAGGATGTAAAAGCTAAAGGTGACATGACTTATGACTTGCTGTCCTTCAGAGCTACAACCCAGAATTTATTACTTACTTCTGATGATGTCCTCAACAAAAGACAACTAAAATAATTCAAGCCCTACCATAAAAAAAGCTTTCAGTCCTTGTCAGTTTTTGCTGGAAGCAAAATTCATTTCCAAGGTGCTATATCAACAAAGTAAATTAGAAAAGGAAATTTTTCCTTCTGTCCACCTCAAGCATGTCCAAGCATATGCCATTAATCAATCATATTACTACCTACCCTGATGAAAAGTGCTGTCCTTTCAGGTCCACTGCTCTGTAGCAGGGCTCCAATCACTGCAAAGAAAGTCCGCTGCAACACAGGCGGAGGAACTGGAAATTCTGCACTCAGAGTCAACTGCTCCACAGCCAAATTTCTAGCCACATGACACATGACTTCCTCACCAGTAAGAAAGTTAACTAGGTTTCTGATGCCCTCAGTAGGCAAGTCTGGGTACTCATCTTCAAGAAATTGTGTGAGGCACGTTCGGGAAAAAGAAATCCCTTGTTCAGATAGTTCTTGATTGTCTTTAAGATTCAGAAGAACAGCTTCTTTCTCTATGCCAAGCTTCTGACGTTTGGCCTCTTCACTTTTAATATAGCAGTTGTTAACAAATGCAGTTTTGAGAAGATCTAAGGAAAAGGTTTCCTGTAACCGGTGACCAAAAGCTTGTATCTCAGCATGGTAATCCCAGTTGGGCTTCTCTGAACTGTAAAAATGTAAAGACAGTAAGAGATGGTAAAGAAAACGTTACTATAATGTAAACATTTTTCATTCTGTAATTTTAAGAACTATATAAAAGAAATGAAAAAGCATTATGCTTCTTGAGCTGAGCATGGTGGAGTCTGCATTCAGGAGGCTGAAGCAGGAAGACTGCCACAAGTTTACCAGCCTGGGGTACATAGTAAGTTCAAGGTCAGCCTGAACTACACAGCAAGACCCTGGCTCAACAAACAACATTGTCAGTCCTTTGCTATGATCTATATATATAGTAATAGTAATTTTCCCTTTGACTCAATTTGATTCCATTGCCACAATAAAGTGGTTATTCAGAGACCAAGCCATTGTTCTTTTAAATTCCTTATTTCTGCTTTGACCACTGAATTATGCTTTCTGTCTAGGTATGAAACATATGTTAAAATTTCATAAGTTAGTGTAATAAACAGTAAGACTATTATATTTACTTTCCACTTTACTGATTTAAATTTTGGAAATATTCATTTACATTAGCAATTGAATACCTAATATCAATATTATGAGTAAAAGTTCCTAATCGTGGGCTAGAAATAAAGCCCCGTGGTAAAGCAATTGCCTCACATACATTAAGCCTTGGGTTTAATCCCCAGCACCACCATAATCCACCATAATTTCCAAGAATGAACAAAAGCAGATTTTTCTAAAGAAAGATGATAAACCCAAAATAAAACCCTTTAAAGTTTTCAAAAAAGGCAGTAAAGTACAAAGAGCTGGTTGAAACTCAATATATAACACGACAATACATAAGGTTCGAACTTTAAAAGCTTAAAACGCCCAGGCTTCTAATAAGCAACAAAATGTGAATTAAAACAAGATTCTGTTTTGCCTATAAGGAAAAGAACGCAGTGTGTTAGAGGACCGTTCTTGCTGGCAGGAGTATAAACTGGACCAGTATTTTTCTCTGGAGGGCAATATCAGATACCAAAATTCTACACTACAAGTTTCCAAAAATGAATTAACCTCAAGTATGTTCACCGTTTTATTTGTAAGGCAATAACGGAGAGCTCGAACGCTAGTATATGGAACTATGGGGAAAAAAAGAGCGAAGTGCCTCTATTTATATTTTTGTCTATGCTTTGGCATCTCAAAGACACATTTAAGAAAAAACGAGGTGCAAGAGTATATGTAAAGTATGGTCTTACTTGGAGTTATAAAAACTTACACGTTTCTTTTGCGACTGTAGAAAGATTAATGAGGGCAAAGATCTAATCTAGACCTTTTTACTCCGGACAGTGGAGTTGTGTTTCCCTCCCTCCTTCGCAATGTTGTAAAGTGATTTCTTCTCTCGTCCTCGAAGGACCCTCAGTCATTACAAAAATGGGCCTACAACACCCAAGCCCACAACAGCACTACCCCGCAGCCGACCCTGGGTCTCAGTTTTCCGTAAGAACCTCAGGGGAGTTTGAACGTGTCGGGGGCGGTATCCCCTTTCCCTTAGCTCCCGCCACGCGTCCACGTCCCTACCACGTTCCTCCGCAGCAGACCCGCTGGGCTCCGGCCGCGCGCGGGGTGGAGGCCCGGCGTCCCCGGCGTCCCCGGCCGCCCCCAGCCCCCGGGCCCTTCCCTCCGAGGCTCCTACCGGCGCACGGGCGGCGGCGGGCAGCGCAGCAGGCGCCAGCGCTCCAGCTCCTTCTGGAAGCGGTAGGCGGCGCGGAATCCCTTTTTCACTCCCCGAACGGGCGGGAGAAGCGTGGGGGCGGCCGGAGCTAAGAGGCAGCGAGGCCCCAACTGGAGAAACCTCACCAACCCGGACGCCATCGCTGGGGAGGAAGCAATGGAGGATGGAAGGAAGACAGTGGAACCGGTGTCGCCGGAACACAGTTCCCCAAACTTTAGAGAAGCCGGGAGGCCGGGGGCGGAGCCAATACCCAGGGGGCGAAGCGGCTGCCCTGAGTTTTACTGCGCACGCGCAAGTGCTGACGTTTGCCCTTTGCGGCTTATTTTCAAAGAGCGGATTTGAGATCAGAAATTACTGAAAGACATTTCTTCACCCTGCTACCTGCTACCTGCTCTCTTGTTTTCTCATTAGAGCAAAACAAAAAACTTGTTACACTTTCAGTTTAAAAAGAAAACACTTTATTTTTCAAAAAAGAAAACATTTCTTGTTTGTATTTAGTCTTCCAGTTGCAGCCCATCGACCCAGCCACTATTGAACATTTTACTTTTTACCCTGCAGATCTTTAGAAGCCGTGCTCTCAGAAGCCTTAGAAATGTGTTAACTTACTTTAAATTAAATTTTGTATTTAGGAACAGCTTAACACTACATTTTTTTAAAACATTGGGGAAGTGGGCATCAAAAATGGAAACAGTGAAATTAAGAGGATTTTTGTTCCATCTTTATCTCCTACTCTTCAGCAATACTATTATACTTCTTTGTTACCAAACAATATAAGTTTTTAAAGATCTTTTACTAAGTTACAAGAGGATCCTTGTCTGAATTCCAGGTTTTGAATTGTTTGCTAAACTGGGCCACTTCTTTCTGAGCAGAACCCCTGAGGCACCCAGATTAGTGTCCTATGTCCTGAGTTGTTCCTGTTTCCACACTTTGTTGTGTTTAGCTACGAAGTCCCTTTTCAATTTACCTTTTTCCCTGGTTATTGTAATTGGCCTCCAAGCAAGGGTTATCTCTCTCTCCCCACCCCAGACAGACCTCACCTGCATTCATCACCCTGAACCAAAGCATATTAGTACTTAGCTCAAGATCTCAGTGCCTGATCCGTACAGCTCAATTTAGGTTTCTTAGCTCAGTCTTTCAAGAGAAAGAATCTGAATGGTTCATCTTTGCCTGTACAGCGGTTCACATTGGAGAAGGAGGAACAAAAGAGGGAGTCAGCATCTTGTCAGGTAAAAGGGCCGAAGACCAAGACCAGACCAGGCCACAACAAGCCTTTATTAGGGGAATAGATCTGCCGGGCTGTCTCTGAACAAAGGAGAGACAAAAGCAATATGGCTGGGGCAGGGAGAGTCTTTTATAGAGACTGGGGTGGGGCTTGTAGGGGCTGAGGCGGGGTTGAGTGAGGTAGTGACTAGGGAATGGAGGAGCCGGTGATGTCACTAGGTGGTAGGAGGTGAGCGAGTATTAGGTTACTGTCTAGGTGGGAACAGGGGCATGCTGGGAAGAAGGGTTTGTTCTTTGGTGGGAGCAACCATCTTGGCATGATGTCACACAGGGGAGGGGGCAAGGCACCATAGGAAGAGGGCAGCTACTATACATAATAGCTGCTGAGGTGGTGGGAGACCTATCATATCTATCACAAAACAAGCCAATGGATTTCTGGTTGAAGCAAAGATTATAAAAAGGAACAGAAAGGTATTATGATTGGCCTTTGTATTACACTGTATATAAAGTATTGAAATCAATAAGTGAAATCTAATAAGTAGAACTCGTTTCTGCAGTACAGTATTCTATTCATTGGGGGAAATAATTTAAAGCCACTTGAAGCATGGTGATTAATATTAAAATGAAGTTTCTCTGTACTGAGAGTTTCTCAGTAATGCATTAAGAACATAATTTGCAAAGGCAAAAATGAAGGGTCTCAGGTGATTTCTCCCACTAATGTACTTCACGGAGCTCAAAAATTAACTTCCGGTCGCTTCCCATTACTGTAACAAAATAACCAAGTTAATTAGCTTAAACAGAGGAAAAGTTTATTTTGGGTCACAGTTTGGAGGTTGGGGCTTATTGCTTTTGGGCCCATAGCAGGGAGCTTGTAGCAAGGCAAAATTGGTTCTTCTCATGCTAGGATGGGAAAGGATGAGACAGGAAAGAGAAGGGCTGAGGACCCACAGTCCCCCTTAGGGGAACAGCCCTGCTGACCAAAGACATCCCACCAGACCTGTCTCCTAGTAGCACCAAGCTGGGGACAAAGCCTTTATTTAGCACATGGTCCTTTGGGGGACATTCCCCACTTAAACTACAGCAGCCACTAAGTTTTAGAGCAACTCACTCTACAACAGGTAACTAAGGGTGAAATTAAATGAATGAAAATGGCAACTTAACAAATATTCTGTGCCCACGAGTCTTAGGGAAAGGCCTCAGGGTGCTGGGTCTAGATAGATATATGAGCTTTCGCTAAATGTAGATGAGAGGGAGAGGAAAAATGGTGTTGCATGGTACATACAGAGTCATCAAGTGAAAATGATGATGACTTACATGGATGAAAGGAAGGGTTCCCGGTGCTCTCTGGAGATGAACTAGAATGAACTGACAACTGACAGGTTAAAGAGGAGAAATGACGCACAAATGTGCTATGCACATGGAGGCAATCACAAAGTGTGATTGCCCTGTAGCCAAATACGATTCAGAAGCATATGTATCTCTTTTCTACAGAAGAAAGAGAGAATGGGAAATGCAGACAATTCTTAGAGGACGAGTAAATGATTTCTAGGAAACTTCAGTGGGGTTGGAGAAATATACAACGGCCTGGGACAAAATCCGTTGGGCCCACAGAGAAGACAGAATTCTTTTGGGGATATTGAATGGTCTCAAATAGAAGACAATGAGCTGAGGGTGGTGATGCATGTTGTAATCCCAGCTGAGAAGGCTGAGGCAGGAGAATCACTGTGAGTTCAAGGCCAGTTTGGGTGACATAGTGAGTTCAAGGCCAGCCTGAACTATGTAGTGAGACCTTGAAGAAGAAGAGGAGGAGGAGGAAGAAAAAAAAAAGGAGGGGGAGGGGGAGAAAGCAGCAATAGTGTGTGACAAAAGTGTGCCCGGGTGTGATGCACTTCAGTCTCTTTTTCTTAGATATAAGTTCGTTCAAGGAAACTGAGGGAAGGAACTAGAGATTTTCTTCGTCGGGAGTCTCAGAGTTTAAGCAGGCGTGGGGTTATCAGAGAAAAGCCTCTCCGTGTTTGTTAATTTAAAACAGTCAAGTGTGTATTATGGGGTGAAAATCCCGGTCCTGGAAATGCAGCAGAGACTGCCTACCAAGGCTGAGACAAAAGAAGGAAACCATATGCAGTGGGAACTGGAATCACTGAGGAAAGAGGGATTCCTGCTCTGTAATCTCCCACCACTGCCCCACTGTACAAACTTATCAGGAAGCCAGGTGGCAATGAACTCTGGGAAATGGAGTTTGAAGAGTCGGCTCCCTGCAATGCAGATTGTGAAGTATCTGGGGGCACATGAATAGCAGAGTAATTGCACTTGGGGCCCTCATGGTGCATCTGACTCCAGAGTAATTGCACCCAAGTAGCAAGAATGTGAAAATTGGAAAGTCAAGGCCAAATTAGAACAGAGGTTCATGAAGCTAACATACCTCAATTTATCCAAATGTTAAGGGTAAATACTTTTTAAAAAGATGCCATAATGGTAGCTAATATTTCTATCATTCTCATTATAATAACAAAACTATAATATATTTCAGTGCCAGCTAATATTATAAACTAGATTGGATTAAGAGACTCTTGGAGAGGTGATTGGATGGTGAGGGCATGAACCTCATCAATGGGCCAATCCATTAATGAGTTCATAACTGAATGGTCTATTAGGAGGTGGACCCTGGTCGGAGGAAGGGTTGTGACCTTGAGGACCATCTCTAGTCCCTGACCCTTTTTTCTAGGATTCTTTCTAACCCACTCTGCTTCCCAGCCACCATGAATTGAGCAGCTTTCCTCTATCCTGCCCTTCCACTACGATTTCTGTGCCTTGGAGCCAGCTGATCATAGACTAAACCTCTGAAACCATGAGCTACGATGAGTCTGTCATTGTAGGTGTTAAGTATTTTGTCCCAGCAATAGGAAGCTGACTGATACAGTTCCCTAAAGGAATCTAGTATAAGATGTAAGGATTTTGCATCAGAGAAAATGAGGACAGAGCAGATGCTTAAAGATCAGATCCAAGAGAAGAAACCTGGGTTAACCATAATAGCTACCATACATAACCTGTTTGATATATATATATATATATATATATATTGCTTTTATATATAATAAAAGGTACTATTATTATGATTATTCTCACTTTAGAAATTCAGAATCATCAAAGATTAACCATCATGCCCAAGATTTTTCTGCTAATTGACAGCACAGCTGTCTGACTCTAATGATCTTGTTCTTTCCACTATTAGGCTAAAATGACACCAACGATCACATAGCGGGCAGTGGACAGAACTTTATTAATAGACTCTGCCTTCTAACCCAGCAGGGCAGCTCAGAAATCTGTTCTGAGCCTCTAGAATCTGTCACATTCAAGAGACTGTCCATGATTTTTCCCTATCAGCACTTGAACTCACTCCCATCACATTTTGCCCCTACGACTCCAGGGAGGTTTTCAGTCATTGCACTTGACTAAGCTGCGTCACTTGACACATTTGATCACTCTTTCTACCTTAGAATCCCATCTTCCTCAGGCTCCAGGACAACACACACACTATTTCCCTCCTAGGTGGTGGAGGTTCCTCCTCAGTCTCCGTTCTGGGTCCCCTTTCTTTTCCAGACCTGTAAATGTCGCTGTTGCCAAAGGCTCTGTCCCTAGACCTCTTCCTTAGTTGCCCACATTCTCCCTCCTGGACTTCATATACTATCATGCCTGTTAATTACCAAGAATATACTTTAAAAATCATGTTGTATTTAAGCACTATTTTTTCAAAATATGGCATAAAGGTGAGACAAATGTAGACCCTAATTTGTTTATGTAAATTTTCTCCAAGCTGTGTGATAGCTAAGCTGTTTCACATGCATTCTGGAAGGAAATCTCACAGAAGCAGCTGCTCTGTCAGTAAACAAGATCACATCACAGTTTGTTTGTCAGTCCACCATAGCAGTGTGAGGCGAGGAATCCGGACCATGTTGCACACACTGACCTATTTTCAGTGGTGATTCATCCTCTCTTCTTTTATGACAACTCAGGGTATAAGGCCTGTTAAAGAGGTAAACTGAGGCACAAT